GGTTTTAAAAGATGGTACATTTAGTTAAAACTAAATATACCATCTTTTAAAACCCAGAAGTATGGTTAAAATTCTATTGTTTATCAGCGTGTCTGTGAATAAAACAGGAGCCTTGTATGCATTTTGAATGAGTCCAAAAAACTACATCTTAAAACACTTTTTCTCCACCTTAAACAAAGTTAATTTTAAAAAATTCTAAAAAACATTTTATTATATTTTTTGACATTATTATCTTTACTATTAAAATATTCTTTTAATTTTTCGTTATTACAACAATCATTATCAGAACTTTTTGTTTACATTATAACCTGAAAATTATGTTTTCTACATGTTTATTTTTAATGCATATTCTATGTGCTTTAATCTAAGTATTTATGATCCATATGTTTCAATATATGTCTTTCTTTACTATTACTTATATTATATTTTAAAATTGGTGTCACTCCTTTGATCAAATTTCTGATAAATCATTAATATATTATTATAATTAATTTTATGCTTTTAGCTACCAGTATAGTATTTATTGTTATTATTTTTTTCACTGTAATTATTGTAAACATACTTATTATTACTATTACTACAATTTGCATTAATTCTGTTATCTTGTAATATTATTATATATTATTGTTATTATTACTATTTTTATTGTTATTATTATTATTTTTATTATTATTAACACTTTTGTAAAAATGATTTAAGCAAAATAAATAGCTTGTTGTTGTTGTTGTTGTTGTTGTTGTTGTTGTTGTTGTTAAGTGTTATAAATAAGGTATGTAAATTTATCCTAAAAAAATATCCTAATATTTGTTTAAAAAAAGTTTTGGTAATAAAATTTTAAAACTAAAAATCTTATTTGATTTTTTTAGATTTAGTGTAACATAGTGCAAATAAATTTGATTTCACTGTAAATGAAAATAACAGATTTTAATTAGAATAAAAATAAAACAAAGTAAAAATAAAACAAAGTAAAAATAAAACAAATAAAAAATACAAATAAAAAATACAAAAATTGAACAAAAATTCTTAAAGTAGCACAAAAGTTTTTTTATAAAAAAGGAAAAAATTTTTGTAATTAAAGCTGTAAATTGTATAATTATGTCTTCGAAAAGTATGTTTATATTATTAAAACCAGAAATTTTTAATTAATATTAGCTTCTCAAACAGAAGTATAATGGCAAAGCAACTATATTTTGTTGTTGTTAATAACATTTAATAATTAAAAATCTGGATAACATTTTATGAACTATGAAAATATGAAGGAATAATTTAATATACTTGCAATCACAACTATTTAGTCACAAACACTTTGTATTAATAAAATATATTTAGTCACAAACTTAACACTTTATATGTATTAATAAAGAAAATTTTATTTAGTTATATTTAAAAATGAAAAAAAAAAGGCTTCTGATAAAGATTCAATTAGAAAAAAATTACAGATTTTTATAAGGCAATTTTTAAATTTATATCCAGATGAGAATAAATGCTTTATTGTAAATGATTTTCAAATGAAAAAAATACCATAACATTCATTCTTTTGAATATATTATACATAAAAATATTATATATAATATACTAAAAAGAATAGAGAACAATATAGGACTCAAGAAAAAAGTAAAAAAAATGGTTGCAAAGCAAAAAAGATGTCTGAAAATTAGATAAATGTCTTAAAAATTGAATATTTAAAAAGACTGTATTTCTGTTTGTTAAAAATGATTAGTTATGATTTTTTGGAAGAAAAAAAATTGTTACTGACGATGAATCATACTTTTATTTAAACAACAACAAAATTTCTGATAACACTTTTCTATTAATCTGACATAAGTTAAACAACAACAATATTTCTGAAAACACTTGGTTCTATTAATCTGACATAAGTTAAACAACAACAATATTTCTGATAACACTTGGTTCTATTAATCTGACATAAGTTAAACAACAACAATATTTCTGATAACACTTGGTTCTATTAATTTGACATAAGTTAAACAACAACAATATTTCTGATAACACTTTTCTATTAATCTGACATAAGTGCAGTATTAAATAATGTTAGGTTGAAAAAAAGACAAATACAAGGAAAAATTACTTGTTTGGATTGCATTTTCAACAAAAGGAATCTTACAGTATTACATAGCTCTATTGGGCTAAGCAGTCAATGAAAATGTGTATATTTTAAAATATTTTGGCAAATTAAAGAAATTTATTGAAAAATGACATAAAATGACAGTATTATATTTTGGTCTGATCATTTCTGGCCTGAAAATTTAGCTAAACTTAAAAAAACAAATTAAGTTTAAATATCATTAATTAGACTTTTTAAATTAATAAAATTGATTCCATTAAAAAGTTATACAATTTTTTAACTTTGTTAAGATTTCTATTTATGTTATCTCAATAAATAAATTGTTTTTTAAAATGGTAATTTTAAAAAGACTTATTAGAATGATTTCTAATTATGTTATCTATATTCTAATTATGTTATATATATATATATATATATATATATATATATATATATATATATATATATATATATATATATATACTATATATATATATATATATATATATATATATAATTGTATATATATATATATATATATATATATATATATATATATGTATATATATATATAAAGCTATGTATACATTTAATTATATATATATATATTTTTTTATTTATTTAATTCACCTCCTCAAGGCCGAGAAGGCCACTACAGACGAGGAGGCTACTTATTTTTGGTTATAACCCTCTCTCAACTCTATAACTCTGAAACACGAACCTTGATGAACAAGGCAGCTGCGCGGAGAAACAAGTTGAGCGCGGTACTACCAGCGATGTGGTGGAGATCGAACTCGGAACCACTGGTTTATGAAGCGAGTGCTCTACCACTATCGCATCAGCAATATATATATATATATATATATATATATATATATATATATATATATATATATATATATATATATATATATATATATATATATATTATATATATATATATATATATACCACTACCGCATATATATATACCATATATATATATATATACCATATATATATATATACCATATATATATATATACCATATATATGTATATATATATATATATATATATATATATATATATATATATACATATATACATATATATATATATATATATATATATATATATATATATATATATATATATATATATATATATATATATATATATATATATACATATAATTATATGTATACATAGCTTTTTTGAGTTGTATAACATATACATAATAATGATAATATTTAAGTATATATATAAAACATTCAAGCTATATATATTTAATTTGAGTTAAGTATTTTTCATTCAAAATTTCCACAATTTTGCTAAATTTGACAAGTTATGTTTATTTTGTAAATAAACACTAAAAATTAAGTCTATTAAAAATTACCAAAAACAATTTATTAGATAGTTGTCATAAAAAAAGATCTTTAATTTTATGAATTTAGGTGGCGCCCTAATACAGCCAATGCTTTAAAAAACGATCTAAAATAGCCTCTGTATATATGTATACATGTATATATATATATATATATATATATATATTATATATATATATATATATATATACATATATATGGTATATATATATATATATGGTATATATATATATATATATATATATATATATATATATACATGTATATATATTATATATATATATATATATATATATATATATATATATATATATATATATATATATATATATATATATATATATATATATATATATATATATATATATATATATATATATATATATATATATATACTATATATATATATATATATAGTATATATATATATATAGGACCTATTCTAGAAAAAACATTTTGGCGGCGGTACCCCATAG